AATTCCCCGTCCCACCTTGCTGGCGAAGCGCAGCGAGTTCAGCGACTCCCCGAAATTCTCCTCCACGGGGGAGATGGTCACAATCATCAGCCTGGGGGGAAACGGGGTTACAGCGCAAAAACAGCCCAAAAATAACCCAGAAACAGCCCAAAACACCCCAAAAACACCCTAAAAATAACCCAAAAATAACCCCAGAAACACCCCAAAAATAACCCAAATTAACCCCAGAAACACCCTAAAAATAACCCAAAAATAACCCAAAATTAACCCCAAAAACACCCCAAAAACACCTCAAAAATAACCCCAGAAACACCCTAAAAACAACCCAAAAATAACCCAAAAACACCCCAAATTAACCCCAAAAACACCCTAAAAATAACCCAAAAACAGCCCAAAACCAACCCAAAAACACCCTAAAAACAGCCCAAAAATAACCCCAAAAATAACCCAAAAATAACCCCAGAAACACCCAAAATTAACCCCAAAAACACCCTAAAAACAGCCCAAAAATAACCCAAAAACACCCTAAAAACAACCCAAAAATAACCCCAGAAACACCCCAAAATAACCCAAAAATAACCCCAAAAATAACCCAAAAATAACCCCAGAAACACCCTAAAAACACCCCAAAAATAACCCCAAAAATAACCCCAAAAACACCCCAAAATAACCCAAAACCACCCCAAAACACCCCAAAATAACCCAAAAATAACCCAAAAACACCCCAAAATTAACCCCAAAAACACCCCAAAATTAACCCAAAAATAACCCAAAACACCCCAAAATTAACCCAAAAATAACCCCAAACACCCCAAAATTAATCCCAGAAAACACCCCAGAGTAACCCAAAAACACCCCAAAAACACCCCAAAATAACCCAAAAACACCCCAAAATAACCCAAAAGTAAGCCAAAACACCCAAAAATAACCCAAAATCACCCCAAACCAACCCAAAATAACCCAAAAACACCCAAACCCACCCCAAACCAACCCAAAAATACCCAAAATAACCCAAAATAACCCAAAAATACCCAAATCACCCCAAACCACCCCAAACCAACGCCGTGGGCGGGTTTGAGATTTGGGACTGGCGTTGGTTTTTGGGGGATTTGGGGAATTTTGGGATGGGTTGGGATGGGACTCCGGGATTTTTGGGATGGGATTTGGGGAATTTTGGGATGGGTTTGGGATTTTGGGATTTTGGGCGAGGTTTTAGGGCTGGGTTTTTTGGGGTTTTTTGGGGTTTTTTGGGGTTTTTTGGGGTTCTTTGGGGTTTTTTGGGGGGTTTTGGGGTTTTTTGAGGTTTTTTTTTTTTCTTTTTTTTTTTTTTGGGTTTTTTGGGGTTTTTTGGGGTTTTTTTGGGGTTTTTTTGGGGTTTTTTGGGTTTTTTGGGGT